CATTATAATGTTTTTGTTAGCCTATCCAGTTGAAGCCACTAGATGCGGCGCTGCTGCGTTGTTCGTTAAAAATATTGCGGATAAAGAGAACATCAATGCGGAGATGATCTTGTTTACATCAAAGCTGAAACCAAGCCATTCACACAGAACACATATTTTGCGCATTTTCTAGAGGGACATCTAACACCGTTGCACTCGCATCTCGCACAAAGGAGCCGCATGTTTAGAAAGCCATGTAAAATTAATGCAAGTTTAACTTTGAAAAAACATATCTCGAGACTTTATGGCGTTTTTTTTCCCCATCCCACTGCAACTCCTGTTTTTAAATAAAAAATGTACTCTGTGTGATTGGCTGTCCGCCCTTTGTATTAAACTATGCATACATACATGATGCTGTTTTGTTTATAGTTGTTTAAGCAACTTAATTAATTATAATTGGTTTATAAACATTATTTTAAACATTATGCACTTTTTTTTCACAGATAGTCATGTTATCTTATGCTTTGAGTTTGAATAAACATGCATTAGTGATATTTTGCTCGATGCGCCCTCTTGTGGCCTCAGAACAGAAGCCAAAAGCTTTTCTTCACCCTAACTGAAATTATGCATTTTAAATTCGAATATAATTAGAATTTTGATAATATTTAAGTACAAAATTAGAATTTCGTTTTTCAGCCATTTTGACAGTCCTAGTGTACACACACATATACACATTTATATATTTAGATATGTATATGAATAGAAATATTGCATTCATATATTATATTAATTAATAAAATAATTTTATTTAGCCGGTTTACATTAACAAAGACAGTAAATACATTTATTTTACACAAGATTATTTCAATTAAATGTTCTTTTGAACATTTTATTTTTTCAAAGAATCTTGAAAAAAGATTGCGCATTCCACAAAAATATTATTAAAAAAATATATACATAACTCCTCTTGAGCAAATCAGCATGTTTGAATGATTTCTGAAGAAAGAAACCTGCTTCTCTCACATGAGCACAACATGTCTGCTAACTCCCACACTTTTTTTTAATACACAATATACAGTATTGTGTAGGCAGACTTGTTAGTTTGTAGAGCAGATAAACCTGTATATAGATCTGAACCTGCACTCTCCACTATAACAGTCTCTCTCCTCCTGGACAGAAATCTGGTGACATGTCTGTCTGTGTCCATGGACGGGACCGTCCTGCTGTCCGGCTCCAACGACGAGACTGTCAGGATGTGGGACGTTCAGAGCAAGCAGTGCATATGGTCCATCAACCACAAGGGTAAGCATCAAGCGCTCTCTCTCTTTCTCTCGGCATGATTCCCTTGTCTACAGGCTAGATCTGCTCTATGTACAATCACCTCTCAAGCGTCCCAGCATCCTTCAGTGCTCAGCCAGGCTCGCTGACTCTTCCTTCCTCTCTGGCAGCTCGACCGGTCTGCTTGTAGCTCACTCCAAATTGACGTGCCTTTGGACACCTGCGTCTTTTTCAGTTTAGGTGTCTGATCTCTCATGCTTCGGCCGTGACTGGCTGGCAGTAGGGCAGGAATGATGAGATTCTGCAGCGATAGTGACACAGCGTGCTCTGTTTTGGTTCTGATCCGTGAATACATTCTGTCTGGTTTGACAGTAGTTTACCCTCCAAGGAGCACAAAACAACCTCATGTTCCTTTTTGGGTTAGATTTTTTTTCTTTCTCTTCCTTCTGTCAATTATGGACACTGTGCAAAAATGGAAAATTCTAGGAAACTTGAGTAACCAATTTAAGCAATTTTAAAGTCAACAGGAAGTCACTGTTTGGCCCTGTTAGCTTTCTATTGCTTGTACCTGGTCTTATTGCGCACAGTTCACCAGTGCACATTATTTCTTCCAAATAAAAAACAAGCTTTTTCCTCTAAGATGACTTTTCTTATCAGCGTATATTTGGTTAATGCCAAATAGGTATTTTGGCTTTATTTAATAAGTCAACAACATACCGTATAAAATTATCCAAGATAAAAAAAAAGACAAGTTTGTATTATATTTGAACAAAACTGCTTCAATACATTATTTTCTAAGATAACAATAATATGAATAAAATAATAATAAGATTGTCGTAAAGTCTGGTATCAAGACTATTAAGGTATCACCCAGACAGTTTTGACTTTATGTCCCAAATTATCACAGTTATTTTAAGATATTCATGGTAGAACATGTGTAATCATTGCATGCATGATTTTTTTCTGTTTACATTTTCTTTTACATGTTTAAAGGGGTCCTATTATGCTTTTTCACTTTTTTAATTTTAGTCAGTGTGTAGTGTGTATGTTTGGGCATAAAAAAGATCTAGAAACTTACAAATCCCCAAGTCCACTCCAAAGGGAGATATTTTGTTTTTTTAAAAATCCCTTTTCAAGAACTACAACGAACGGCTCGTTTGGACTACAGCGTTGGTTTCCGGGCTTTGTGATATCACAAAGCGGCTCATTAGAATATCATTAAAAATAATTCCCGCCTACAGAAATTTGAATGGTTGGGGGGTGGGGAGGGGCAAGGTTGTGGTTAGAACGCTTGGTTGAGTGAGTGCATCAGACGAGACGACGAAGAAGAAGTGCTGCTGCAGAGTTAGTGCATTGTTGAAAGACGGAGCAAAGGGCGTGGCAGTACTGAAACACTGTCTAAGCTGTTCGCCAATCACAACGCACTGGGACAGCTAACCAATCACAACACATTTTGTTTTTCGGAAGGCGGACCTTCATCAAAGCCGGAACTAATCGAGCCGTTTGTGCCAGGCTGGGTAGAAAGGTATTTTAATAATGTCAATTATGTCATTTGTAAATTACGTTTTTTCGAACCACCAAGCATGAGAGCATGTTCTAGTACACCGCCAAAACAAAATCGAGACTTTGTAAAAGAGAATAATAGGACCCCTTTAATATATTTTTTAATAAATCAATATGGACAGAAAATTATATCATTAAGCCTTGTACTGATGCTATATTCAAGATTTGAAGACCCCAAAACATGGGAACTGGCAAAACAGCTGCTATAAAAAGAATACTAATGTACATGGGTATGTTCAGTTTGGTTTTATTGTGGGTTGCAGATGTATTTCATGTTGTCTTTATTTTCTTATATTTTACTTTGAATTTAAGTTTTAACTATAACGACTGAAAAGCTGTGAATCTGTATTCCTGATACTGTATTAATAACACTCCTTCAGCACTCCAAATATCCTTCAGCCTTTGAATGAGTCAGTGTGAAGACCTTGGCAGTTCTGATGGACTACTGAATTCTCTCTCATTTTTCTCCCGTGAGGTGAAATCACTAATTAGCTCGCTTCACTCTTTCAACATACAGATGAGCTTTGGTCATCCTGGGTTATGGGCAGGAGGATGAAAGCAGCAGACTCTATAGAAACTCACATTGCCAGATTGCATTGCACGGCCACCAGTCCTCAGCACGTTGTGTTATTTTAAGTATTGCTATTGAGCTGTTTCTCAACACAACTGCTTCATGCTCTACGCTTTTCTTTAATTGATTATTATTTTGTTGGAGAAAAAAAATGTATTGCTGGAAAACTCTGAGGTAATTTGTCAAATGTGGAGGTGAAAGGCAAACGTTATTGCGATCTAGGGCTGGGCGATATATCGAATATTAGCCATAATATCACAATAATTTTGACGACGATGTAAAATTTTAAAATATCGTGAATATCGAATATTTCAAATTCAAGCATAGTTTCCCAAAAGAAAGCGCCGAGCGTCCAAAAAAGGAGACAACATGTTATTGCGTACTCCAGACTGCTCTACACGCCTCTACTACGTGAGCTATCATGAGTGCGGTTGGCAGATATCAATAGTTCAAATCCACGAATCAGAGCTTCGCTGTTACAAGCATACATTTTCTGCCCGGTGTTTTGCTTATTTTAAGCAATCTGGCAACCATGCACACACGCTCGCTCATTGCGAAAACGCCGCAGCCGCAGATGATCTAAAACACCAACAAACAAGCTGGAGTTTAGCGATCTAAATGAAAGTGTCACTCAACCAGTCTGTGTTCTGTCATGAGATCTGGACTGTATTGTTTGCGATTGTGATCGCTGAATAAATGCACTTACACAACCGCTGTTGTTTGAATAGAGAAACATAGGCAATTTGGAATTACTATTATGAATTAAACTGTTATATTTTTCATTTGTTTTTACCAGTTTTCATAATATAGACAGAGAGAGTGCATAAGTCTTTAGTATTAATTTATATATACATGTTCATTTAATAAAAAGCAGTAAGTGATCACTTGGTCTAGATTTTTTTTAATCTAAATTGCTCTAAATCTAAATTGTTTTTGTTTTTTTTTTTAATGGGAGCAAAATAAATCATGTTTTTTTTTATTATTTAAAAGCAAATGCAAACATATCGAGATATATTGAATATCGTAAAAATTTTGCCAATATCAATATAATTTTTTTTTATATATCGCCTAGCCCTATTGCGATCTGAAAAATCAAGCTGATGAATTAGTTTTCGTTCTCGCCATTGTTGCCCTGGTGGTCAATGAGGGCTAAAGGACCACAGATGTCAGGTCCCTTTGAGCAGGCAAGAGCTTTTTGAAGGCCATTGAGGGCTCTTGAATTGAACAAATTAGCACCGAATTATTGTGATAACCCCTAGCCTCTAGTTCATTATCTGTCCTATCGACTTAGAGAAAGGGAGGGTGAGAAAAAGAGGGTGAACGAGTGAGCCGGGCTGTGGGGTTGAAGCAGATTTTGTTCTTATGTTCTCAGATTGATGCAGGCTAAATTACCCCGTTGACTTTGATCAAATACCTGCTGTAATTAAACAGCTCTGAGAGGTTTAAAGGTTTTAGTTAATAACCAGTGCGCTATGTGTCAGACTGACTCCCTCATTCGAAGAATTTTGTGTTGTTATAATGGCTTTTTCTGAGAAATAAACGATCTCATGGTGGTTCAAAGATTTTGTGCAGTCTACCCAAATCCCTGCTAGGGATGGGCCATGATGGTCGACTAATCAGATACTTGTCCAACAACCAGTAGCAGTGTGTCTTTTGTAAGAAACATGTCCAATTGGGATGAGGTGAACCGTGAAACCAGCCTATTTATACATATATGTATATCTCACTGGGATTATAATGCTGTCTGACAAACAACAGTTGTAAAAGGTGCGCCATTTATCGGTTAACCAGATATTCAAGTACTGATTAGGCAAAAACTGTTAATAACGGTAAATAGTATTGGTCTGTCTTTACTAATGTGAATGAATTTGAAACACTGTTTTAAATTATATAATTTATTGTAAAAATGTAAATATCGGTAAAAAAAAAAATCGGTCGATCTGGTTATTGACTGTCTCTACTATTATGGATGAATTTGAAACACTGTTTTCATTGGCACCATTTATGGGTAAACCTGGTATTTAAGATCTGATCACAGATCATGTGAAAAAATGTACATATTGGGAAAAAAATAACGGTCAGTCTGATTATTGTCTATCTCTGCTATTGTGCATGAATTTGAAACACTGTTTTCAGTGGCACTATTTATGGATAAACCCAGTATTCAAAAACTGATTACCAGTTACACAGAAGTCATAATATTGCTAAAAAGTTAAGGTCAAATCAATTGTCATCTATCTCTACTAATGTGTATGAATTTGAAATACTCCTTTAGATGGCACCAACTTAAAATGTTAATGTAAATCAATGTAAGAATAGAGAAGTGTTAATATCAGTAAAAAATATATATATATAATATATGTGTGTGTGTGTGTGTGTGTGTGTGTGTGTGTCTCTACTATTATGGATGAATTTGAAACACTGTTTTCATTGGCACCATTTATGGGTAAACCTGGTATTTAAGATCTGATCACAGATCATGTGAAAAAATGTACATATTGGGAAAAAAATAACGGTCAATCTGATTATTGTCTATCTCTGCTATTGTGCATGAATTTGAAACACTGTTTTCAGTGGCACTATTTATGGATAAACCCAGTATTCAAAAACTGATTACCAGTTACACAGAAGTCATAATATTGCTAAAAAGTTAAGGTCAAATCAATTGTCATCTATCTCTACTAATGTGTATGAATTTGAAATACTCCTTTAGATGGCACCAACTTAAAATATTAATGTAAATCAATGTAAGAATAGAGAAGTGTTAATATCAGTAAAAAAAAAAATATATAATATATATGTGTGTGTGTGTGTGTGTGTGTGTGTGTGTGTGTGTGTATAGGACAAACATATTTTACTGGAACCAAAATGTCACCATTTATTGGAAAAC